CACCATGTGGGTATCTCCCTGGGTCTGGATCAAACCTGCACTGCAGAGGCTGTGGACAGCTTCACAGTGCTGTGCTCAACCAGCTGCGCCACAAGGGAGGCCCTGCTTTTCTTAATTTTTGTTGTGGGGAGCAGATCAGTTTGAGGCTTATGGTGGGGTGGGGGAGAGGGAGGAGTGAAAGAATTCACCAGAGATAGAGGGAGAAGAGAAAAGGTTTTCACAGGCTTTGTAATTTGGGGGCCAGTTTGCACCAATTATCTGCTGAGATGTCTGGTGACCGGCATTGGACTTGGTCACAGAAACATGTCCTGGTCTCTGCTTTCTGCGTTCCTAGAACTGAGCTGGTTTTTTGATCATGATGGTTGGTTTTATGGCCTTTCTGGTCATGGTGGTGGGTTTTATTGGCTTTGTCCCCAAGGCCGACTTACACATCTCCTTAGCTATTCAAGTCTCCCAGACCTGACTGCTGGGGCAGGAATGGGAGTTTAGTTCTTAATTTCACTAAATTATATCTGAATGTTCTCCAAGTGTTTTTCAAATAATTTGCAGATAACTGTAAATTATATTTATAAGATACTCTTTTCATCATATTTTATAAGAAAGGAATGTGAGCCAGAAAAGTCATGTAATGAAGTCACAGGGTTATAGGGTGCAGTTAGAGTTACATTCGAATGATCTGGTTTCATTATTCATGTCCTAAACTTTTTAAAATTACATTTTGCATTTATTTTCTTATATCATTGTTCATTTTTGAACTGTATTTGCTTTCTCCCTTCAGGTGTAGTCCATGTAGTTCTCCCAGCACCACAACACACTTGGGCCCTTGCTATGGTCTCTGTGCTCTTCCCACCCCAGTTGTGACCCCTCTGCCTCTCCCCACACTCTGTGCCTCTGGTCTATGCCCAGACTTCATATCACCCTCATTCCTCCCCATTTGTATGGTGATCCAGGTCCCTGGTGAGAGCACCTGTATGTCTGTGATAGCACACAAGGCAACCTCATGAGTATTTTTAGCACAGAGGAAAAAATTACCTTGATGGAAAATGAAGGAACTACTATTTTCCCCCATTATCCATTTTTTTTTCCTTTTAAAATGCATCTTCCTCACAAAATATATTGACAAAACCATTCCTATGGCTATTGTAGTAGATAAGATTATTTTTCAGTGTGTCCACATCCTCCCCTCTGAACACCATGAGTGGATAGAGAATCAATGAGTGTTTAACTATATGATTTATCTTGACAATACCATGTGAGTGGGAAGGTGACAGCCTGAGTCCTGAGCCCAGACAGGCGTAGCACATTTCTGCTTGTCCCTCAGACAGCTGCTACTCTCTGCTGTGAGAAGCTTATGTACCTGGAAGCTCAGTGCTCAGAGAGCAAAATACATTTCAACAAACAAAATCTGAGCTGACTCTGTGGTCTGAATTCAAGCCTATACCTACCAGCTTGTATCAACTGAAACAGTCAAACCACAAGTGGGTGAATGAGACATAAACACTTATTTTTAAATGTCAGTGCAATCTTGGGCCGTTTACTACACAATTTCAGCAATTAGCTGCAGTTATAACTTATAAATTATATAAAATGGATCATGATTAATTATATATTGTCTATGTACTTTTATGGGGAATATATAGAATATGCTAAATTTAAAGAAATGAAGGTATATAAAATATTAATTTATTTTGCAAATAGTAATCAGCTCAGTCATCACTTCTGGTTGTAATATAATTCAGGCATAAATATTTCTGCATCATTGTCAAATTATGAAATGTTTCCTGAATTTTTTCAATAACTAGCTGCGTGACCATGTAAATGTTCTCAGCTCTTTAAATGTTTTTGCTAATAAATATTTTTTGTTTCCCATGAAAGTGTTTTTCTAAGTATGGTAATAAAAGTGGTAGAGATGGGTGAGAGAGAATTTAATAAAATAAGGTAACTTTTTAAATACCTAAATTTCAACAGGGAAAAAAAAATGAATAACCAAAAAGACACTGATTATTCTGTGTCATTTAAAGACTGTGTTACAGTGGTTCTAAATTCTCCTCAGAATAGTCCCATTTGATTCATACTGATGGATTTTCCCCCGATAATTTTTCAAAATACTAACTGGTGGTTTTACATTTTTCTGTTCCTTATTCATTTTGTTTGATTGTAGCCCCCCCAAATTCTCTTTCTTCTTCTCTCCATCTTTTCTGTATGGACATCTACTCTCAGCCATAATAAGCATGGTATATTTGGCACATTGGCATACTCAACACCTATTCAAAATAATGAAACACTTTAAAAGATGCAAATACTACCTGTGTCTATCACTACCTAACATGAATCTAATCCTGATAATGTTTCACTTGGACAGATTCAGAAGATATATACTGGTTCCATTTGTTACAGGCAGGGAACCCCCAAATTGGTTGTTTAAAACAGGTTCTGCCATCCATGCATAAAGAAAAAATATACTCTAAAGCATAAACATTCTATACAAAAGAACTTTAATACAATTAGTATGCAATAAAGAGAAGAGAAAGAATATAGTTTCAAATCAAGCACTCAAAGTTACCCAATCCCTTGAAGCTAAGTGCCTACCCAACAGGGTGGCACAAAGCATGGCTGTTGAGACCCAAAAGCCTGCCACGATCCGCCCCTAGTGTGGGCACCACAGGAAAGGAGCAGAAGGGGCCATGCAAGTCTGGATGGAAAAGAACAAAGCCAAAATCAAAGTAAAGCCTGCCATTGTTAGCTCCCCATGGTCTCTCACCCACATGTGTACAAGTATGCACATCCTTCTACATGCTCAAGTCCCTGGTACAAGTCCAAGGCCAAACTTTTTCACATGTCTCTCTGCTCCATGTGCAGGCTCCAGGGCTTCTTGCTCTCTCCTGCCTTGTACCAGTCTTCTGTTCAGTTTCTCCTCCCTGCCCAGCTCTTCTCTTCTTAAGGTGGGGCAGGGAACCTGGAACCTCCCGTTTCCCTACGTATTACCCTGTTACACATTCTCCAAGGGAGTGGTAGAACCAGAAGTTTTTTTTTTTTTTTTTAAGATTTATTTAAAAAACGAGTTATTTACAATAACTCGTGTGTAGGCCAGAGGTATGAGGGGTGAGAAGATTCACCAAAGACAGTGGGGAGCAGAACCACTGAAATACAGATCTACTGAAATACACTGCTGAGGGGAGCAGCAAGCCAGATAGGAGAGGTCTGCTGTGCCATGTTGGTGGCTCCCTGGCCAGGTATCGAACTCGTGCTGCAGTGGCTAGCAATAGCTTCATAGGTTGCATAAACCTCTTGTGTCACCAGGGAAGCCCGGAGAACCAGAAGTTTCTTATAGAGCAACTTTGTGGTTGTGGCATGATAACTTGAGTACCAATTAATAAATTATTACTCTCAACTCCAAATCTGTATTTTATTGTTCTATCTGAGATAACACAGCTAAATCCTTTAATCTTTCCCCCCCCAGGCAAATAACATTTTTATTAATTAACTGCCTCACACATTTCTATGATCTTTTTTCTCCCACGTTTTTTGATCCTCTCTTCAAATGCTTTGATCCTCTCTCTATTTTTTTATAATAAATTTTATGTTTATATTCCCCATACAATAGCAACCCCCTTATTTTGACCCCAATCCCTCCCCTCCCGCCCCCTACACCCCATAGAGTGTCTCTGGTTCATAGTTTTTTGTTGATTTTGATATTCACTTTCTTATAGTTATTCATTTTCCTGGTCCCTTATTTAAGTTTTCTAGATTCCTGCTATGAGTGAGACCATCCGGTATTTTTCTTTTTCTTTCTGGCTTATTTCGCTGAGCATGATCCCTTCCAGTGCCATCCATGTTGCTGCAAATTGCATGTGTTTATCTTTTTTGAATGCTAAGTAATATTCCATGGTGTATTTGTACCACATCTTCTTGATCCAGTCATCTATTTTTGGGCATTTGGGTTGTTTCCAAAGCTTAGCTATTGTAAATAGTGCTGCTATAAACATAGGGGTTCAGGTGTTCTTTGGAATTGATGTTTCTGTGTCCTTTGGGTAAATACCAAGGAGTGGAATTGCTGGATCATATGGAAGCTCTATGTTTAGTAGGTCCAGAAATCTCCACACAGCTCTCCATAGTGGTTGGACCAGTTTGCCCTCCCACCAACAGTGCAGAAGAGTTCCTTTTTCTCCACACCCTCGCCAACATTTGTTGTTGCTAGTTTTTTTAATATGTGCCATTCTCACTGGTGTAAGATGGTATCTCATGGTAGTTTTGATTTGCATTTCCCTGATTACAAGTGTTGTTGAACATTAAGAGACAATAACAAAAACAAAGAGAAACTCCACCAACTAGGAGGACATTTTTGCACACAACACTAATGATAAAGGACTGATCACAAAAATCTGCAAAGAGCTGATGAGACTCAACAACAACAAAGAAAATAATCCAGTCAAAAAATGGGCAGAAGAGCTAAAAAGAAACTTCTCTGAAGAGGAAATGTAAATCCTTTAATCTTTTCTCCCTTGCAGCACACATGATGTTAGGTTTTGCTGTAATGGACACTGGGGAGATACTGCAGGGAAGGGGCTCATTTTTCCTGACTTCCAGGGGTTGGCTTTAGTGGCTAAGATGCAACTGTCCATCCAGTTTTCGTGGTTAATCTGTCTCAGTATCTTTTTTTTTTTTTTTTAAGATTTATTTAAGTATGCATTCAAGAACTAGGGTGTAGACCAGAGGTGCGGGCGTAGAGAGGATTCACCAGAGAGAGTGGGTAGCAGAACAGGTGGATTGACCAAAATACACTGCTGAGGGGAACAGTAGGTGAGACAGGAGAGGTCTGCTGTGCCATGTGGGTTGCTCCTGGCTGAGGGATGGAGCTCTTGCTGCAGTGGCTGGCAATAGCTTGATAGTGCTGTTTTTAACCCCCACACCACCAGGGAGGCCCTGTCACAATTTCTTGCCTTCCAACCTCTGCCTCTGGATACTCTGGCAAGGAGTGTTTCTGCTCCACAGACCAGCCTGAGATCTGTCCTCACCAAATAGTTAATCATTCTTTACATCAAACTTTCTCTGATTCAAGTCTTCTGACTTGTCTATGACTTAAACACTTTGCTTCAAGGGCTAGAAAATTAAGTAATGAGAAAATAGGAGTGGGATTATTTACCTTTGCACACTTGGAAATAACACTTCTTGACATTAGAATTCATAATTTATATATGGTTTATTTTAATATAAAACAAAAAGAGGTGTGATATGTACCTGAGAGTATATCTTCATAAATAATAGTCTCTAATGCCAAGGGCAAAGCTCAGTAAACTATTAAGTTTAAGTGGTTATTATGTTTCAATGTGGATTCATCCTTCATAACAGATGCACCATTTGGTTTATTGATGTTGTTAATGGGGGAGGCTGTACCTGTTTGGGAACAAGGGGATGTGGGAAATAGCTGCACTATTTTATTGTGAATCAACAATGTTTTAAAGATGATATCTTAATACGAAATTCTAAGAAAATAACCAAAAGCTAGAAATGATAAGTGGCATTTTCCCAAATTTTGGTAGGACTATGTGACTGATGCTTACAAATATAAAGTTTTGTTTCTAGACAGGATTCAAAAGACACATTTTTCACGAGAAAATTTAAAAATGGACAATTTTTATCCTTCTCTGAAGATTGTGAAATCCTGCAATGTAGAAAATAACATAAAATTATCCATACATGTAATGTTAATTAATATTCATTATTAGTTAATATTTTGGTGACTAAAAACAATGTATTTGGGTTAATAATTATATCTAACTCTGAATATTTCCAATATAAGTTTTTATTGGAACCATTTAAGTAATTATGTTTATAGTCAATAGCATATTATTTTTACTACGATGATCATTCCCTTTAAGGCATCCAAGATGATATTTCTCAAAAAACTTACATTTTGGAAGAGAAAGCTGAGCCCGTTGGCCACACCTGTGTATTATTATAGGATCTGTAGGCAAGGTCAATCCATGAGAAAACAAAAAGGGAGCTCAAAATTTTCTATGAGAAAACATAAATGTGAACAACTTGTCAGAAATTCTATAAAACTGTGGAAGACTGGAAAGATATTATGAGCCGCTAAACATAGCTGACATATAGAATTGAATAATTAAGTATATGAAACATGTGAATCTCTAAGCAAGCATGTTGTACTTGTAGAAAACAGAGTTCAAAGGTGAAATAAAAGCAAAATGTCTTAGAAAATACCTTACACTGAATGATAGTAAATTGACAATTTATAAAACAGTTTTCTTAGAAGTAAGCAGGGCTTAGAGAAAAGGCATATCTTTGTCACATATCACTGATTTGTAATTACCTGATTCATTTCATTTAATCTTAAAAATCATGATATATTGTCTCCTTGATGTATGGTAAAAAAAAAAGTTCACTTTTTAAAAAAAATGCGTGATCTGAATTTTTGGAAATTTCCATACTGGGCTCCATAGAGCTCGACCAGTCTACGTTTGCACCAAAAGCTAATTGATTTGCCATATGATGCAGAAATTCTACTCCTAGATATCTACCCAAAGAAAACAAAACAGTAATTTGAAGGATGTATTCACTCCTGTGTTCATCACAGCGCTGTTTATAATAGTCAATTCCTGAAAACAACCCAATTGCCACAAAGAGGTGAGTGGAGAAGGAAGTGAAATAGATCTATAATGTTCTAAAAAATGATATCTTAATATAAAATTCTAAGAAAATAACCAAAAGCTATAATAAAAGATAAACTCTTGCCATTCAGAACATGAATGGGGGTGAGATTATACTAAGCAAATTACATCAGAAGGAGAAAGGAAGGAAATGGTTTCACTTACAATAAAAAGCAAGAAAAATTCTAAAAGCTAGGGATAAAAAGGAAATACTCATGCAAATATCTGGAACACACAGAGAAACACTGAAAAGTTACTAATATAAAATAATAGAAACTTATTGTAATATAGACAGTGTTTAAAGTATGGGATTGGCTTAAAATAGACTAACCAGATAATAAAATAGATTAGAAAGTGCACAAGTATATGAACATATACATGACATGAAAGTTTCAACAAAGATGCAGACTCATTAAGTGAAGAAAACAACATCTTTCCAATCAATGCTGTGGAAATAGCTGGCTTTCATTGGGAAAAATGACAAATAAATGATGATAATTTTATCCATACTTTATACTATATATAAAAATGTGCTCAACAGTTTGTACAGATAACATTAAACTTCAAGAATATATATTATAAAAAAAAATGACAAGTCCTTGGCTTAGACAGAATTTTTAGATACACACCAAAAAAAGATCCATAAAAGAACATACTGATGATATGTGTAGTTAATCAAAATAAAATATTTCTGCTCTTTCTTTTTTTTTTAAAGATTTATTTATTAATTTATGCAAGCACTGGGTACAGTCAGAAGTGCCAGAGGGTGAGAAAATTCACCAGAGCCAGAGTGGGGAGCAGAACAGGGAGACTGACGAAGTACACTGCTGAGGGGAGCAATGGGTGGCAGAAGAGGTCTGCGGGCCATGTGGGACCCTCGCCAGTGGTGGGGATCGAACCAGAGCTGCAGAGGCTGTGGGCAGCTTCGCAACCCAGCACTCAACCGCTGCGGGTTGCACTCAACTGCTGCGCCACCAGGAAGGCCCTATTTCTGCTCTTTCAAAGGAAAGGAAAAATCACAAGAGTTGGAGAAAATATTTGCAAATGATAAATCTCAAAAAGAGAGAGAGAGAGAGAGAGAGAGAGAGAGAGAGAGAGAGAGACTTGTTTCCAGGACATATAAAGAACTCAAAATGCAAAACTGATACATTAAGAGATTCTGGTCACTAAACAGTAAAGCAAAACTGTTAAGTCACAGTCAAGAAAATGTTCCTTATAGCTCACAAGATAAAAAGAGATCATGTCTATAATATAACAAGAGCTCTAGGCAGGAAATTACAGACACCATGTAGGAGAGAAGGGCAAACAGCACTTCACAGAATAATTCAGTACTGAATAGAACAGAAAAATGTGTTCAGTTTAATAGTAATCAGGAAAATGTCAATTAATGTCATAATGATACTGTTAAGTAAGCATCAGACATGATATTAAAAGTCCTAAAAGTACAAAGTTGTGCATCAAGGGGCCATTAAGTAAAATGTATACTGTCACAACATTTTTTAAACCTAGGATAATTTAATAAAATAACAAACACCCATATTTATGAACCAGAAAAATCAATTGGTGTATTTGATACAACTTAAAATATTTATATATAGATACAATTATAATTATATTTACAGATTATTGTAGTATAATAGATATAGCACATTATCAAAATATAATGTTTTATATACTACATATTTATACATAATAGGCACATTATTGCAAATGCAATGTAATATGTAGGAACAGGTCATAAAGGAGGATTTTTATGAAACAATTATTCATAACACCCACAATTAAATTTCTGAGTAGAATAGAATAAAAGTGTATATGATAGCAGTGATAATTAACAAGTTGCAGATAAATGCAAAATTATAGATTAACTGTTAATATCAAATCAGCATGAAAAGAAACACACAAAATGAATTTTTCCATTTATATAATGCTCAACATAGCAAGGATGATTCCTAAGCTAGCAAAGTGGTTAGTGAACAGAGAGAAGTGAATGGAGTGCATTCAGGGGGACTGCTGGGTTGGGAACTTCAATTTAATTTGTAATTACCTGGGTTTAGTTCATTAAGTTAATCTGCAAATTCATCATATATTTAGTTTCCTTGATGTGTGGTAAAATTGAATAGCAAAGTTTATTACAAACAACATCTATAGAAACTTGGTTTTGTACAAAAAACTAGAATTGAAAATTATCAAATGTTCATTCACAGCATGAAATAGAAAAGCAATATGAAGTCAAATCAGCAGAATTATCAACAGGATTTTAAATAAAACAACATATATACACACAAGTATCGATGCAATCAATAAGTTAATCTTGACTAAAATAATCTTTCAATAAAATATTTGAAAGATTTAAAATCTTACCATTTCCTCCTGATTTTCTGGGTAGAGCAGATGAGAGTTGTTAGAAGCACAGGCTGTTATGCTGTCATTCCAGGTTTTTTTTTCATTGCTGATATAGTAGCAGTTGTTGAAAATTGTTAACAACTCCTTTGGACAAGGGCTACAATGGTATGCTGTGGAAAGATTATGAATTATTATCAAAATGCAATTTTAATTTTTAATAAAAATCTTTAAAATTTGCATGGTCTTCGACATATATATGCATATTGTAACATAGTTATGCATCCTCACAGTTGGTACATATGACAAAAGACACACACTAACTCAGAGAAAAGTCAAAGCCTCTCTCCTAAGATATGGGTTTACACAAAGCAAACACACAAGCAAAACTATCTACTTTCTACATGTTTCAAATATCTAGTATCAAAATATCATGTATCAAAATACTGTTTTGGAATAGAAATATTATTTATTGCACTTATAGCAGTAGGACATTGGAACTAATTGACAACAATGACTAAGGTCATTTTAAATGACTATTTCTGTATTATTGTACAACATAAACATTTTAATAATCTTTACTCTTATTATGCAAATTTTTAATGATTTTTTTACATTTATACCTTATCTAAGGTAGAGATAAAATATAAACTATATTAATATCAGAACTTTGAAAATCACTATATACCTTTTGGGATCATTGTGTCTTGGGATGAATTGTTCAGCTTTTGTTTTTCAGTAACTGGAAAAAACAACAACAAAGTAATCCTTATAAATATTAAAGTTGATCTAAGGAAATTATAATACTTTTTATTTTTTTAGTTTGAAATTTGACTTAAATTAGAATGAGCTGCAGTGCAATTGATTTTACCAGGAAAGCAATAGTATATTGAACATTTGGATTAAGCTATTTCAGAAGCCAACGAGGTGAAATTATATTATCTCTTGGTTTATACTTGGTTTAACAAAGCTCCAGAATTAATTTGTATTTCTCAAAAAGGTCTTTCCATATCCTGAAGCGTTTTGAATTACAAAATTGCAATATGTAAAAAAAGTTCTCTATGCTCATTGTTACTTATACTATTGACAAATTTTGAATAAACTTTCCACATTAGGTCTAAATAATCATATTAAAATGAGAGTTCTATTATTTAATATTATGAAATCTGTAGAGTGACTGATAATCATTAAGTGAAAGGTTTTCTTATAATCTTTCCAAAATTTACTCACTAATAATCACTGCTACAATACTATCTATCAAGACAAAGCAAATAATTCCCAGGATCCCAGCAATGAGCTTCTCCGGTGGTGATGGTAAGCCTGCAAGGACAGAAATGGAAACACTTGAGAAAGCAGAGATGAAGACAGTTGCTCAGACAGTTTACAGACAAGAGAATGCACATCCACAAGGAATCACATATATAAACATGGATACCAGTCCTATGCCCCCCATTGTAATCTTTCTCCCAGCATACACTGTTGTGTTTACAGTATATGTAATGACCATGAGTAGTTACTCAATAACAACAATGCCTGGATAAAATTAGTCTTTACATTTCACATTAGAATCCTGAATTCCAACTTCAAATTCTGATCTCACAAATGCAAGATAAATGAGCTTCTTTCCTTTGCATACCCCCACCCCTGCGCTCCATTGTCCATCCCTGAGCAGTTATACTGTATGTCTATTAAGCATTTTACCTTTGCAATGGTATGTTTTATCATTCTCCTGAAGATCCTGAGAAGCATTTTGAAAGTCAAATTCTGCATAAGTTATTTCTTGCTGGGTTACCGAAATGGAGCTTTCAGTTCCCAAAGGTTTCTTTCGCTGTCTTTTTAAATTCTTTGCATGCTTCAGTTCTGCATAGGTTACACCTTGGTTATTCATCTTTGCAGCTTGAGTGGAGAATAAATTGCATTTGGTGAGAAGATGCTTGGTGTTGTCAATATGGGCGGAGTGTGGGCTGAGTACTCCTATCAAATTCAAACAATGTGAAGGCTGTTTTTAATCTCCTCACAGATTTAAACATGAGTTTTAGGGCAGAATAAGTAGTTTTTAAGATGATATTCTATGTTTGATATATTATTTTTGATTGGAGAAATATAAGACAAAAATCTAGTTTTTTTTAAAAAAAATAAACAAATTCACATGTGGAACTTTCCTGCACTAAATTACCATTATTTAGTGACTTAAGATGATTTGTTAGAAGTAGATGAGGTTTTAGCAAATGATATTTTATCTGGAATTATTGTGAAGTTATAAGAAATCAGTAAAAATTTAAGGAAATCTTTTGTACATTGAAAAATATTACATAAAACACTGCCTTTACTCAAATTGTAAATAATTTGAGAACAAGGCATAAAAAGTTTTATTTAATTTCAAGTCTTATTTAAGTTTACAATTGTTTAATAGCTAAGATACAAAAGCATACAATGATACTTATGGGATAGCATTATTGGTTCAACCTTCCAAAAAGATCCTGTAACTCTCAGTCAGTGAAGGTCTCCTCAGTGGTGTAAACAATTGTATCAAATCACATCACATAATTTAGTCAATACTTTCTCTATCCAGTGGAATCTAGCATTGATTCTGGTTTTGAAATTTACAAAATATGATCTTTAAAAGTTGCTCCATTATCAGCAATTTAAGTTGCTGTTCTACCATGGGAATAAAAGCATGTAAGATAATACCTGAAAAACACCAAATGTTTAATCTAGCTTTTATAAGCTTTCAATAATATGTCAGTTTTACCACTTTTTTATCATTTGTTTATACTAGTTAGACGATGTAACATAATTTATTAGATAAAAGTCTTTTATACATAAAATTCTTACTGCAATTTTTTCAATATTTTTCAAAATCTTTATGTCTATAATTAATTTTAAATTGGCATTTTATGGAATCTACCTCAGCTTGATTTTTACAACTATCAAACTGTTTCTAATATGTGTAAGCATATGAGGAATACATTTGACCTTGACAATTAGATGAATTCACTTTAAGTCTATTATGAAAAATTGAACTGACTATAAAAAATGTGGACAGATACCTATATTAAGATTTCCAAAATAAATTGCTCCTTATCAGGCTTTAATTCACCCAACACACTTTAAATTCTATTGATTTGTAAACCCGAATATGCATGTGTGCTTGAACTTGACTTATTCCCCACTAGCAAGAATTTAAGTATTTTAAGCAATCATTTCACATACTTCACATTTATTCTTCTCACCCTGAATTATTCAAATGAAGATTCCAATATTGTCTGTTATTTGATTGTATCTTAATTGTACTTCTGTTGTAGAATATCTGACTTTTGCAATCTTTCACTAAATAAGATGGGTTAGGGAGGCACAGGATTGTAGCCAAACAGAGCAGTGCATCCTCCAGTGTGATCCAGGTCACTCCTTTTTTTTTTTTCCCCCCAGGTCACTCTTGTAAGCAAATAATATCTCTGTTTTTCACACACTGCCCAGTCAAGCTGCAAAATGAAGCAAGACTGGAAAAAAAAAGAGACTTTCTGTCACAGTGTCACAGTGGAGGATTAGGGGTGCTTTGCTGGTGGGGGTGGTGTGGTCTCATACATCTGAAGAGGTGTCAACCTGTACCCCTAAATCATATGCAGTGTTGTAAACCAATGTTACCTCAAAGAAATGATATAAACATATTTTTAAGTAAAGTGCAAATGGGAAATATTTACCCTGGGGCTTATTTGAAGACAACCTATCCCATCAAAAGCCTTTAGAGGAGACTTTTAGCTAATAGTATGTCAATTAGTTTGTCTATTTTCAAAAGCCTCAATTTTTTTTTTATTCTAAAAGATAACGTGGGACAACAGGCTTGATTATCCATGCTGTTAACTTAGTCCTTTTCAATCACAAACACTGAAATGCAAGTCTAAAGAGTATATTAGATTTTTAAATTCTACTTTTAGGCAAGTTTGATAAGTCTTACATGGTATCCTTCTTTTCCTTATGTCCTTATGTCATGATTATGATGCTGAAAAATGTCCGTTATAATCCCATTAACAGTAAACATTTAATGATATTTGTCACTATTTTATAAAAAAGCTGAAATTTCAAGTGTATTTTATTTATCACAAAGACCAATAAAAACCAAGCTATTCAATTTTTCTACACTACTTTTTCATTTTTCTACCTTCAGTTTAAAAAAAAAATCATTGCAGTGAACTCACTCATGAATTTTACTTGAATTAAAAGGAAAACATAGCAGCACAAAACTACCATATAAAATACCAATTGTTATAAGTACAATATTACCCCAAATATAAGAGCACTTAGGTTGTTTCCATAGTTTGCCTATTGTGGCTAGCGCAGTGATGGATATGGAAGTGCAAGTTTCCCTTCAAATTAGGGTTTTTATGTTCCTCAGGTAGATATGTAGGAGTGGAATTGGTGGATCATATGGTAGATGCATTTTTAATCATTTTAAAAACCTCCATACTGTCTTTTATGGGGGATGGATCCATCTACATTCCCACCAACCAACTACAAGTGTCTTTAATCTCCACACCCTCTCCAACACATGTAATTTCTAGTCTTTTTGATATGGGCTATTCTCACAGGTGTGAGATGATTTCTTATTGTGGTTTGGATTTGCATTTCCTTAATTTTTTATATGCTTATTGGAGATCTGTATTTCTTCTTTGGAGAATTGCCTATTCAGCTCTTCTACCCATTATTTGAGCTGGTTCTTTACTTTCTTTTTGTTGAGATGAATGGGCTCTTTGTATATCTTAGATACAAGCCTCTTGTGAAATGTATGATGTACAGATGTTCTCTCTCATTCAATTGGGTGTGTAATTTTTTTTTAAAGAATCATTTGTTTATTTATGCATTCAAGAGCTGGAGTGCAGGTCAGAGTTGTTGGGGTTGAAAGGATTCACCAGAGACAGAGTGGGGAGCAGAACAGGCAGATGTACTGAAACACACTGCTGAGGGGAGTAGTAGGCAAAACAGTAAGGTCTGTTGTTCCATGTGTGTCATTTCCCTGACCAAGGATAGAACTTGTGCTCCAGTGGTTGCGGACAGCTCCATAGTGCTGCTTCTTCATCCCTTCAGCCACCAGGGAGGCCCTGGTGTCTTTTGCTTTGAGCACAACTTATTTTGCTGTGTAGGAGCTTTTCAAGCTGATGTAGTCCCAGTTGTTTGTTTTCTTTTGTTTTCCTTATCTTGGAGATGATTTGTGAACACATTACTGAAGCTTACGTCATGAAATGTTTTCCCTGTTTTCCTCTACCTATTTATGCATTCGGGCCTTCAAGTATTTTATCCATATAGAGTTGACTGTTGAGTGTAATGTGAGATAGTGAAGCAGTTTCATCTTCTTTCATGCAGCTCTATATATTACTTTCCTCTGACCCCAAACATAGGAACCATTAAAAGCTATTTTGCCAAATTTTGAGATTCCTTTCAAAATGTTCTCAATTCCAAAAAGATAGTCATTATTTATGTCCAAAATAGAATACTGGGAGATGAGACTGGAAATCATGACCAATAAAACAAGAACAGTAAATGCAACTTTATTTCCATAGTGGGAATCATATTGGGTAAAAAAAAAAAAATGGTTCTCATGCAAGTTCTATGCAAGTTGCATAGCATGCAAGACTTTTGTCAAAGGTCTTCTTTAAAATGCATGTATCATTGACATGTAAGTTTGAGTTCATTAAATCACAAATATCTCTCAATGCCTGGCTAATATAGTTTATTGAAACAATGGAGATTTGATAGGTAAAGATGGAAAACAAAGTTTTAGAACTGGGTCCTCTAGGAAATCAGATATTTTTGGCTTGATGAGGACTCAAAACATGTAACATCACATGTAGCAAGAATTTAAATGGTCAAACTATCTTCTAATGATCTTCAACCATCCTATCATTTATTCCTCAGAGCCTCTCTGCTAGGGGATACAATTTTGTCATTTTGTCACAGATGGAAATTAAACATAAAGTTTAAGTAAAAATCAGTGAGATTTAGTGAACACTCATTTCAGAAAATGCTTTTCAAATACTTTTGCAAGTATTTTCAATAATCCTCATTAAGATGATGAGTTAGATACTACTTATATTTTATTGGAGAGGAATCTGAGCAGAAAAATTAAGTAACCAAGTTTAAAGGTTAATAGGGTGCAAATAGAAATTACACTGAAGTGATCTGGTTTCACTCTCCCTGTCCTTACATCTTATACCAAGCTGCTTGCTCCCCATTTGCACAGTGATTGAGGTCCCTGTGAGGCCATCAGTATGACAATCTTTACCACAAGACAATCTTGCAAGAATTTTTGGCACAGAGGAAACAACAGCATAAATGTGAATTTCAAAAGAATTATTTTTTTTCTATTTACCAATATTTCACCAATATTCTCGTGAAATATGAGAGAATATTCTTATGGCATGGTATTCTAATGGTAGATTAGATTATTTTCAGTGAAGGCACAATTCTTCCCTCTGAAAACTTTGAGAAGACAATACTTTAAAGACACTAATGATGGGTTTGGTTATGACAATATCATATGAGTGTGAAAGTGACAGCTTATGTGATCTGAGCCCACACATAAAAAGCACATTTCTGCTTGACCCACTGACAGTGATAATCTCTGCTGTGAGAAGGTCATGTACAAGGTTACTCAGTGCTCAGAAAATAAAAACATACATAAAAAAATCTGAGCTGAATCTGTTATATACCAAATCCTACAGTAACCAACAAAGTGGAATGCAAATTAATATTTCTTTTTAAATCAATGAAATCCTGGGTTGTTTATAACATACATTTAGTTACAATTAATATATAACATGAAATTATTTGCAAATATTCATATATTTTCTTTTTTGTATATAAGTGTATTTAGAGTAAATAAGGAAGGTCAATATTCAAAAAGAAA